ATCGCAGAAGGCGTATATAAACAGACAGCCTCAGGAGAGAGATATATTTTAAAAAATGTCTCTCACAACATCACCTCTCGACAGAGTGCACAAAATCAGAGCTTGACATCTTTGCCCCTCCTATGACTCAACTATCCATAGATCAGACCAACTATGTAGAGATCCACCCTTTAAACTCCATCACAGATCAAGAAGTATTAGAATTTCTGATTTCGGGCAGTGGTGGATCCTATCTTGACCTCAACTCAACATTGCTATATCTAAGATTAAAGATCACTAAGGAGGATGGAACTGACCTTGGTGCTGATGACAAGTGTGGGACAATTCAGTATCCCCTGAATACTATTTTCTCGCAAGTAGATGTTACTCTAAATGACGTTCTCATTAGTTCATCATCCGCTACACACCCCTACCGAGCGATTATTGAAACTCTTCTTAACTTTTCACGAGAAAGTTTGGAGACACAATTTTCAGCCGGGTTATGGTACAAAGATGTGGGAGCCGATTTGGATTCGATCGAAATGGGTGACGACGCAACCAATAAAGGACTGGTTAAACGAGCTAGTTTCGCCAGGGGGTCCCAGCCATTTGAGCTGATTGGTGCGCTACACAGTGACATTTTCTTTTCTGAAAGACTTTTGCTAAACAACGTGGATGTGCGTTTGAAACTAGTAAAAGCCAAAAGTCCTTTTACTCTGATGTCAGCGGCAGGGGGCGCCTACAATCTAAAGATTTTGGGGGCCAGTATTTTTGCCAAAAAAGTACAAGTCTCACCAGATGTTATGCTAGGACACTCTGCGGCTCTCATGAAATCCAACGCCATTTATCCTATAAGCCGTGTAGTGGTAAAGAATTTCACCATCCCTGCACAGTCTCGTGTATGTGCACAGGATAACTTATATCTAGGGAAGCTTCCAAGATATATTGTAGTGGGACTAGTAGATCACAGAGCATTTGTCGGAGCAAGAGAACTGAATCCATTCAATTTTCAACACGCGGATCTTGAATATCTCTCTCTAAGTGTGAATTCTAGATTCATCCCATCGAAGCCATATCAGCCAAGCGTTAATACTCATCAGAGCGTCCGTGAATTTTACAATCTTTATTTGGGAACAAACAGACATATTAGAGACTCGCCACTCTGCATCGACCGTGAAAACTTTGAAAACGGGTACTCTCTATTTTTGTTTAATCTCTCAAGAGATGATGAGCTCGACAGTGAGGCTCTATCCCCTCAACGCACGGAACATGTCGCTTGGATTTAAGATTCAGAGCTCCTCTTCCGAGAACTATGACAATGATTGTCTATGCCTGTTATGACACAGTTATAGAAATAAACTCTAAGCGTCAGGTTTTGATCGACTATTAAAAAAAAATAAAATAAAATAAAACAAATGAATAATTCTCAAATTGAATCTATTCTGAAGCCGATCTTAGGAGAGTCATTTTTGGGTGTATTCCCGTGTGACTTACTCCCGACAATGATTGAAAAACGTCCGTGCTATCTCGTTGCTAACACGCATGATCAAACTCGCGAAGGTGAACATTGGGTGGCTATGATTGTTGAAGACGAAGAAAAATCTTGTTTCTTTGATAGCTACGGTTATGGCCCCGAATTCACTTTCTATCCCGAAAGTTTTATAAAGTTTCTAAAGAACAATTCCTCTGAAATACAATTCAACAAACACCAAGTTCAAGACCATTCTTCAATGTCCTGTGGAGCGCACGTCATCTTTTTTCTATGCCATCGTTTTAAAGGACTTTCTTTTCCTGAAGTAATGAGATTGTATTCAGATGATTTAAAAAAGAATGATGCTCTTGCCAATAAGTTTGTGAAGAAAAATGCAGAATGTGTCAGGTGTTTAAACAGGGGTAAAACTTGTCAACAAAAAGCATGCTCTTTAAAACTGTTTAATGAATGTTATAAATGTTCTCAATAAAACACACACCCTGTATATATTTTTGAAATAAAACTTTTTATTGATAAAACGGTATACTTTTTTTATCGACTGAAGTCCAACCATTTCGAAGGTATTGGTGAAGACACATGCCATTCTGATGGTATAAATTCTTGTTGAAGTAAATTGGGTGTATTTGCCGTCGATCTTGTTTTTTTCCCCCGTTTTCTCTTACTGCGTCGAACTTGCGGTTCACTCGGCATAGCGTCAGGCTTGAGACGTAATTGTTCACGCGCATGAGTATTTGTCACTGTAGTGATTGGAATATTCAAATCTGAAATTGCTTTTAAAAATTCCGCCCAGCCACGTGGTATTGCCTGTGTATGGAATCGTCTGTTTGATAGAGTCTTCATCAAATCAAAAAGATGAGACCCTTTGATAGTCTTGTCTCCAACAGCAATCTCTCCCGCTTGATTCCAGTTTAAAAGGTTTGAATTTCTGAGTTTATGCAAAATGTAGGCAGCATTTTTCCTATTACGCGATCCAATATTTTCTAAAATCTCATCTTCGATGTTATTGCGTGGTTCTTCCTTCTCAACGCGCATATAACCCTCATCACTAGTTTTCTCTGTAGCGTCGGTATTCGGTAGTTTCAAAACTATTTCACGCGCGTCCTCTTTTTTGAGCAATGCCAAATATTTTTCCAACAGCTCGTTATACTGTATTGTTTTAACATGGGCGGATGAAGGATGCTTAAGCACGTTTTCCATTTTCTCCTCCAAATTGCGTCTAACTTTTTCACCAATGTTTTCATCGGGCTTCTTTTGGGTTAAACTTTCCATTTGTTGAGGAGAGATCATGTACATTTTATGAAACGAACCCATGACTGACTATGTGTCTATCTTTGTCCGGCAAACAAACTGGTTAAAAATGGAAGTGCAACGCTTAATAATGGAAGGAGAAAGCCCCCAGTCTGCGTCAGCACTTTACGCTTATGTTTCACACCCGTATTTTGGCTAGCAAAAAGTTTGATAAACTTTTTCTGCTTCTTCAGTTTAGTGTATTGTGTGGGGGAGAGGGGAATGTTTCCTTTCAAAACGTTCAACGCCAGCTCACATAGTGCCAAGATGAGGTCGTCTGATCCTCGACATAGAAACGTTCTTCTTTCTGTGGGTTTAAGAACTAGCAAGGCTTTTAAAACCGGGAGGTTTCTTTTTAAACGTTTTGACATGTTTTCAATTCTTGCGTTGGTATACCACGGGCCACTCATGCGACAGTATCCCACTCCTCAGACGAAGGTCTTCTGGACATTCCGGCCTCATGTCCACAATTAAATATGAATAGGCGTCCTTAGTTGCATCATTAAAACTTTGTAAGAAATATTCTTTTTGTCCAGGGAACATTTGCTGAGCCAATATTCTGATCTGCATTTTGTCGCGCGGTGATTTGAAAAGAACTATATAATTTGTGTTGAGGCTTATAGCTCTGCTATGTCTCCCTTGGTGAAAAAGATTCTGGACTAGAAATATGACGGATAATTTCCGATGATGTCTGTACATTGTAAATGCTTTCATTAGTTCATCATGGTTAGATCCTATATCCATACAATCATCGATCACTAAAAGATTGTGCTGATTTGATGGGAAGAGCTTTTCATCCGTCAGAGACGGTGGGATACCTTCAATAAATGTAATATCCAAGTGACTAGCCAGCTCGTTGTACATTGGCTGATACGACGAGTACGACCAGACGATGCGATCAGGCCGTTTAGAGAGAGTGTGCTCCATATTTTCTAGCATGTGTTTAACAAAAAAAGATTTTCCAGTACCACTGGCCCCCACTAGTAATGCAGTGAAAGGGAGTTGGAAACGAGGGTCGAAATACACTTCCATGTTTTAGCTGTAATGCTTCTAAATAACTGCCACCCTCTCATTTTATAGCTAGATAGACTGATGCGTGAAAAAGCGGGATTTTATTGACATGAGATAAAGAAACACATCACAGAAAAAATATTTATTTCACATCCATGTGGTTGGTGTCAAAAAACCAAGCAAATTTTTAAAGTCAATAAACTTTATTCACACATAATAAACTGAAAAAACAAAAAAGTGTAATATAAAGTAAATAAAAACATAAAGAACATGTACTGTACAGAAAATTGTATATTTCACAAAACCATGTGATCGAAGGCATAAATCCAAAACACGCATTTAGAAAACAATGACTTTATTCACACTTAATAAACTGAAAAAATAAAAATAAAATAAAAAGTATAATATGGAGTAAATAAATCATAAAGAACTTGTACTGTACAGAAAATCATTATTTATTTATTTTTTTATTTTTTCACAGTTCATATGCCCATGGTCATAGTTACATAAAACTGTACAAAATTCATTGACTTTATCCAGACATAATAAAACAGGGAAAACTGGGTATAATATACAATAGATACAAGATAAAAACATATACTGTACAGAACATACATTGGGTTATGACTTCATAACTAATATCCAAAGGGGAGGGTTGTACCGTCTGCTAGGAGACGCCTTTTGTCAAAAACAGGGGAAAGATTAATCACCCTGTTTTTGTTTTGAAGCTGAAACGTTTTCATGTTGCGTGTGATCTTATTGTATTGAGCGGGGAGTTTTTGGCAGCTAGTGGGATCTTTAAGAAAATCTTCTACCATCTTTGTCACGCTGTCAAAGTGAATGGTTTTGCAATTTTCATAATTTTGGGTGATTCCTTTCGCCTTTAAAGTTGCTTTCCCATTTTTTGTGCGGTATGCATATGATTTAGGACCCATGGACGACCAGTTGCAGATGAAATCATCTGGGTCTAATTCAGATGTCAAGTCACCCAGATAATTCCCTAATGGGGGATTGTATTGATCAGTGGGTGATGAGGTGAACACGATAGAATCTGTATCACAGTACAGAACGCGCTCTTTCAGCAAATCCAATTGCTTGTAAAGTTCAAGCCGGGCGTAGGCGGTGGTGAAGGCCGCTAGAAAAATGTTTGAATCACCAGGAGGGGTGATACATCTGGAACTAAACCGCCACTGAATGAGAGCAACATCATCATTTATGAAGTGAAAGTTTGAAATGTCATACTTGCTTGAAAAGAGAAATTCAAAAAAACGCTCCGGAGTTCTCACCAGGGTGGTTGAGAGCTGATTAGGGCGTTGGGCCAGCTTTCCCCAGAGAGAGTTTAAGAGGAGCTTAGCAATTTGTCTCTTGGCCGGATTGTAAGCAATTTTTTTGGGGTCTAGGGTGATACCCTGTTTATCTTTATAATCTGCAATGTACGCCAGTCTACTTGCAACATCATCCACTCCTGGTGGGTACCCTGATGCCTCTTGTTTGAGTTTGAGGAATGTATGGATGTAGTCTTTAAACAGTTTATCCGTTTTCTCTTTGAAGTGCCAAACTTCAAAGATTTTAGACACTGTATAACCTTTTTCTCAAGGCTTCAATCACTTCTACCGTCGTCCACACACCTTGAAGAGCTCTCTCCTCTGCATTGTGGGTGCACTCAGTTACCTGGTTGTTTGTGTGTGCGCATGTCCGACATAGAGTGAAAACTAGCTTCCCGTTGTCAATTCTGATAGGAAGAACAGGGAAGTACAGACCTCGTGGCGGTTGCAGTCTAATGTGAATCAATCCATGGTAATTTTCAACTTTATCAAAGTTTTTCCGAATGATTATCGGATGACCAAGCGGGTAAAGTCCCGTGGCATTCACAAATGGATAAAGCGATGTGAAATCCACATAGAATATTTTTTCACCACGGACTACAATGTGTCGTAGGCGAACAGCCTCGGTTCGCCCGCCATACAACCCTTGTCTCGGATCCAATGGAATTGGCTCGTCAAACTTCTCTAAGAAAGATTGAACAGTCGGGTTACTTTTTTTCATGCGATCCCATTCATGCTCCCATATATACACTACTGACACATTGTGATCCGACTCTAATCGTGCTTTTCTCTCCATGGTCTGAGAGTAGAGCTCGCTAAAACATGTTTTAGTGAGTGGAGATTCATCATGTGGGTTGTAGCACGAATTACAGCCATGAAAAAAGCAACCTAGAAATTCAAATACAGTTGTTTTACCGTCTACTTCAGCGCATCCGTCAACACTGTACCGTCCAAATTTAACCTCCCCGCCATTCAAAGCATGCTGTATGGCAATGCCACGCCTCTCAGCCTCAAACTCCAGCCATTGAATAGAAGCATGAGAGAAGGACTTGTAACCGGATGCATAGTTCAGTGGACAGGGGATTGCGATTGTATTAGGTTCTAAGAATCTGCATTGAAAAACCGCTAATGCTGCTGAAGCGATGGTGACATTATCTATCGGATCACAAAGTGTCAGGTTTATAAATTCATCGCGGAAGTTACACACACCCTCAGACAGAATTTGA